CTTTGGAGGCACTAACTGTCTGCTTCTAACAGCAATGGGGTATGACCGATGTGTGGCTATATGTAAACCTTTACATTACAGAGTCCTCATGAACGGCAGGGTCTGCAGTCAGCTAGTGGCCTTTGCAATAGTGACTGGCTTTACCTTGTCCCTGATAGTTACTTACTTTATATTCACATTGCCTTTCTGTGGAGAGAAGGAAATTAATCACTTCTTCTGTGACATGGGTCCCGTCATTCAGGCAGCTTGCACGGAAAATAATGGCATTGAGATAGTAATTTTTATTTTTTGTATTGTGGTTGTGTTTGGCTCCTTCCTGTTGATTCTTCTCTCGTACGTCTTGATCTTCAACACCATCCTCAAGATCCCCTCTACTGAGGGGAAACGTAAAGCCTTTTCCACTTGTGCCTCCCATCTCACTGTGGTTGTGGTGCACTTTGGGTGCGCCTCCATCATCTATTTGAGGCCCAAATCCACCTATTCCCTAGAGGAGGACACTCTGATTTCTGTCACTTACACCGTGGTGACTCCCTTGCTGAACCCTGTGGTTTACAGCCTGAGGAACAAGGATGTGCACTTGGCCCTGCGGGAAGGCCTGGGAAGAAAGTTGTGCACTGGATGAGGTGAAGGGAGCTCCTTGAATTTCTGGTGTGAATGGGCTCTCCCCTTAGGCCTTTTTTGTACTTTGGCACTGAAAAAGCGGGGTACAATTCAATTTGGAATAGTGCTGGATGTCAACCTGGATAATCCTGTGATAATCCGTAATAGGAGAAGGTCCGGCCAGGGAGCTGATCTGTCTCTGAGTCTCCTCTATCAGAAAGCATCTGCCCTAGTTATGCCACACAGCAAAACATGGCCCTACCTCATGGCTGGGCTGCCTGCGCACACGCCTATTAGAGTGTGAGGGAGCAGCATATGTCTCAACGACATCTTGCTCAGGGGCTGGGGCTTTTTCTGCTCGTGCCCCAGGCTTATTTCCACTTCTCTCCCTCAAGTTCTTCCTCCCTGGTCAGATTCAGAAAGGTTAAAGGGAAACACCAAGTTGCTCGGCGCCCACGTGAGTACCTCTTTCCCGTCTGAGAACGGTGCTGTTTGCATCTCATGTTCTCCCTTCCTGCACACACGCAATCTACGCCCCGCTAAAATCACCTTCTTCCCAACCGCACCGCAAAACGCGTTAGAGTAACTCTCTCAGAGCACACAATCTTGCTAACTCCAAGCATCCCTCAAGGTTTTGCCTATTCCTTTTCAACCACATTTTGCTTTTGAAATTATCTGTCAGCTTAAGCCCCCCCTGAGCTGAAGTCCTTGACAATCTGTCTCCCTTTGGCCACAATATGTGAGCCTGTGCTTCACCCCACTGTTATGCTCCCCTGGACTCCCCGTGGCTGACTCAAGCCAAGGGCACAAGATGCGGGTGCATCTCTTTCCAGACCTTCCTTCAAATCACAGGGCATGATGGCCATCACAGGCCAGGACTGCAGGAGCCTCAGCTTTCAGTGGTCAGTAAAGTCCATGCCCACAGGGGCATCTCAGCATCTATATTGCATCTAATTTTTGGTATGCTGTGCAATCAGGTGCTTTTTCCCATCTCCACCTCCCCATAGCTGATTGCGGTTTTCTCAGCAGCAATCTCTGTTTGTTTTGGATCTTGAGGGGCAGCCTCAGGGGTCTGGGGTTTGGGGAGGGATTTCACAGTGAGTACCAGACAACAGTCACTTCCTCCCTAAGATGGCAAGGGAAGCACAGCTGAAGAGCACCCCAGGGAAGGGAGACGCAGGTGACAATGGCTCTTCCAGGGAGCAGCTGTAGATGGAGAAGTGGGTGGAAGAACACAGAAGGAAAAGGCTGAGAAGGGAACTGAGCCTGAGCTAAGTAAAGGGTGAAATCCCAACTTTCATCTGACAGCGATCGGGCAACAAGTGCTTCAGCAGCAGCGGTGGCTGTGCCTGACCTGCCATACAGGGAATGCACTGCCAGAGCCTGAGCCGAGCATGTGGGTGTGTATTGGGGTTGCATGGCAAGGCTTTGGTAGCGGGACAGGGGCGGCTTCTGCGAGAAGCTGCTGGAAGCTTCCCCCGTGTCTGATAGAGCCAATGCCAGTTGAATCCAAGATGGATCCGCCGCTGGCCAAGGCCAAGCCCATCAGCCACGGTGGTAGCGCCTCTGGCCCAAACGGCACAGGGGAGGGTCCCGTGGTGCCCGGAGAGGAGCCGCACGAGGCTTCATTAAGGAGTCAGTGTTTCAATGATAGCAAGTCTGAGGGAGCTTCTGCAAGTGGCACGGGTGATTCCCAGTGCCCTTGTTGTGCTGCAACTGAGGCCACAGTGAGGGCTGTTAGAAGTTAAGACTTCTTGTTCTGCAAAGCATGTACACCTCTGCTGGTGACGATGCTACGGGCTGCCTGCACAGGGCCGCCAGCAAATACTCGCTGAAGCCCCCGGGGCTGCGAGCAAAGGCAACTGCAACAACAGGCAGTTCCTCCCCCGAGACAAGGCCAGACGGTGACCTCGGCTTCTCTGCCTGCCTTGGCCGCAGCGGCCAGCACCACCCAGTCTGCAGCTCTCCCCTTCTGCCACAGCCCGAGGGCCTCTCGGCACAGCCGCTGCAGCCATCGGTGCAGGGAACGCAGGCGCGGCAGGCATAGCGGGGGAAGACAGCTCCCAGCTTTCGCTGTGACTCCCACTTGCCCACGTACCCAGCGATCCTCATCAGTCTCGTACCGCCCGTGCACAGGGGAACGCTCCTGGTCACTTGCCTTGTCCGCTCACACGTCCATAATAAATACAACCCTTCTTCTGCTTGCAGGCACAGGCACAAATGTATCTACACGTTTCTTTTAGTGGCAGCTTGTCAGGAATAAAAGCTCAGCTCCTGCTGGTGTTACGCTGAATCCGAAAATTTGTTACTGTGGTTGGGGTGGCTAGATTGTGATCAGGATACAGAAACCAAGGGTCACCCCTTTGGAAGGACCAAAAGCGCCCCATTTCATTTCTTTATGCATGATCGGTGTAACACAGAGGGCTCTTCCCGGTCACCACCTCTAGCTCTTCCTCCGTCTGACTTTTTGTCCTCTCCCGCCTTCCCGTGTCGGCCGTGATAATTCTCTCTACAGCTCCCGGATCCCCTTTCATCCAAAACATTGCATCTGCAGCCGTCTGCCATTGCTGACCCCTTTCCCTCTCTGCACTCATTTCCTTTCTTCTTTTTTGCATCCATTTTCTCTCCCGTCACGTGCCTTGAAGGCTCTGAAAATCCCTGCTGCGATTTACAGCAGGTCTGCAGGTGCCCCCTGCGAGTCCCTCGGCTCTGCCCACGCCCACGTCCCCCGTTCAGGGCTCGGTCCCACTGATCAGGGTTCTCCCGCAGCGCCCCGCCCAGTGGAAACAACCCCACTCCTTTGGAGATGCCTGCTTCCTCCTGTCACCCCCGTGACTGAGAAAGAGCGCTGTTCTTCTCATGTGGCGTCCAACGGGGACAACCTGGCGGAGGGGACTGGAAGCTGCTGAGCCAGCAGGGCCAGTAGCAGAGACCTTGCAAGCAGTGACAGGGCCGGGACTTTGAAAGCTTCAGAGGGGGCATCCGTTCACCCCTCCTCCACTCCAGTCTTGCCCCATAGCTGGAAAAAGTACCTTGCGATTAAACAAACAAACGCGGAATATGGCTCCTTTCACAGACAGAAATTCTAGCGCAGATGTTTAACACACCTCAGGATGGGTCACGCTTAGGGACATGCTCTCCTGCATCTCTTTCTCATGGCAGGCTATCCTGTGCCACACCCCTCAACACCAGGAAAGGAGAGGCCCAAAACTCTGGTTACCCTTGGCTTATTTTCACATGTCAGGTGTTGGGGTGGGCTTTGTAACCTTTGATTGCCCTAACACACTGGAAATGTTTTAAATCTCTTACTACTGCCGCAGGTGACTGTTGCCTTTGGAGCTCTCATTATTAGTCAGCAATACCTGTTTGTTTTATAAATTCCCCATAGGATCAGTATTTATATCAGTATCATCATTTACATCAGTAACAAGAGGTTTGTGGTGCCACGGAGATAGTTTCCCAGGTGTCTTAGAGATGTGTTTACGTGCTACCTATTGTCTCTGAGGTTTAAAGGCGACGGGAGATGGAGGTATCTCTCCCCTTGTCTCTGGTGGAAACCACTTTTGGCACGTGTTGATAAACAAGAGTGAAAGAAAAGTGTGTTCCTAATTGTCCTTGAGCCAAAGCACTTCGTGCACTGAATTTCTATGGAGTCCTGCAATGAGCTGGGTCACCTGTTTGTAGCAGTTTTAAATGGGATGCATTTGCCAAATGGAAACCAGACGACACACGTCCCTATGGCACGTACGCCCTTCCTTTCTCTTCCTCTCCTCTCGTGGAGTTCCAGGGAAAACTAACGTCAGCCTAGACATACAGGATACATACTTAACACCACTTGCAGTGTGGAAATAGATTGGAAAAGTGGGGAAAAATGAGTAACAGTCACTGTCAGAAAGTGGCTTTTCCTGCCTTCCCTGAGTCCTGAGTGGGGATACGCCCGATGGGAAGTTCCCACAGGAGAGTCCTTGTGTGCTTCCCCTGGAAGAAAGGCGGGGAGCGTGCTCAGCCTGGATCCAGAACCTGAGGGCTCTCCGGGAGCCGTGGGAAGAAAGGTGTGGAACAGACCGGCCGCCGGGCTCTGCATGGGCAGGCAGCTGTGGGACTTGGGACCTTTGCTCTTCCAGAAGCCTTCACTCTCACCATCCCTCACAACCCGTGCCTGTAGGGGCAGCCCTACTGCCTCCCTTTGCAGAGCTTTATCCCCATGTCCAGCTGCGTGCCCTTGTCCAGACAGGAGATGCTAGTCCAACACACTGCACAAAAGGCCCCATGTTCCGCATGGCATGGCAAAAACGTTTATTGTACCCTTACATCATAGATACGGAACTGGCAAGAGCCCTGCAAATGTGAAAACCCTTGCCTTGCCTTGCTGGTGTGGGGCAAGAGCTTCTGCTTTTTGCTCACTTGACAGCAGCAGTGGCGCGGGCAGGTGCATCCCTTTGTCTGGGGCACCTCTTCCTGTTCTTGGTCGTCTTCTTTTTGGAGGGTGAGGCCACGCGCTGGCTGTGGGGGACAGCCCTGCCGCCGCCCCTGGGCACGCTGACTCGCAGGAGCTGCTTGAGCACGGAGTTCTTTTGCACCACTGTCCGCAAGTGCGATGGAGAAATGCGCTGCTGCTTGCTCTTCTTGGAAATCTTGCCAGCCACGACCATGGTCTTGTGCGTCACCCACTGCAGCACCGCAGCCAGATAGACGGGGGCCCCGGCTCCAAAGCGCTCAGCAAAGCGGCCTCTGCGCAGCTGCCTGTCTACGCGGCTCACAGGGAAGAGCAGCCCGGCCCGGGAGGACCGGGAGGAGCGGCTCTTTTTGGCCTTTGCTTCGCTGCCTTCGGAGGGGTCCCCAGAACCTGTCGCTTCGGGCTCCCTCTCCTGCTCGGGCACCGTGCAGACCTCCTCTGCTCCAGACATGCTGCTCGCAGCTTGCTCACGCAGGAATCTCCACGCTGCGCCTTTCCCCTGCCCTGCCTGCCTTGCCCGCCTGTCCTTGCGTTCCTTGCTGGCCCTCGCTAGTGGCTCCTGTCTCCAGGCTCGGCTTGCCAGGGCCTGGCCAAGCCTTGCCTGGGCAGGGCGTCCCCACGTGCTCTCCCAGGACCCACCCCTCGGTTGAAGGGCTCAGCTCAGGGCCTCTCCTGCGCAGGCTCTGGCCCTTCGCTTACCTGGGCAGCAGCGGTGAGGGCTCTTCCAGAGTGGCGGGGACCAATAGGAAAGGACTTCCTCTGCGACCTCACCTCCCTGCTTGTGACATCATCCCAGCTGGCCCCACCCTTTGCGGGTGAGCTCAGGGAGCAGCTCTGCTCCCCACTTCCGCTCCTGTTTTCCATGGCAGAGGCTTTCCCAGCGCTTGGCACAGGGAGGGGGAGCTGCTACAGGGCCAAGCGCTCTCCTCTGCCTTCTCCTCCCTGGCCCTGCCCTGCAACAGCTCTCCCTTCAGCCCTCGCCTCTGCCCTCCCACCCAAACCCACATTGCACTCTTGGGGAGAGGACCTCCTTCCCCTTGCCCTTCCCCATGTCATGGGATCCCAGAGCCACAGAACTGCTGAAGTCACAAGGAGCCCTTCAAGATCCTCCAGACCAACCCCTTTCCCAAGCAGTTTCAATTAGATCAGGTTGCCCAGACTTGAGTCCCCTTGGGTTTTGAGTAGCTCTGCAGGTGGAGACTCCATATCCTCTCCATGCAACCCCCGTGAGCCTTTGCCTCTCCGGGTTGAACAGCCTCAGCTGTCTCAGCTCTTCTGTCCAGCCGAAGCCCACATTGTCCTGTGCCTTCCTCTTCCAATGCCCCTTCCCTTTCCCTTCCCTCTCTGCCCCCTGTTTGGCAGGGCAGGGTGGAGAGTGACCCAGGCAGAAGGAATCCCAAACCTGCCCCGATGCCTGCTGTGGTTAAGAAAGACACAGGTGCCTGGGGCAGGTGTGTCTGGGCAAGGCTGCGGAGCAGAAATGCCTTGAGAACATCTCAAGGACTGCAGAATATTCCAGTTTGCAGCACCGTGTCTCCTGTACTTCACCCCAGAGGCAATGGGCTTTGTCGGGATTTGTATCCTGAGGTCTCTTCAAGTACCTTCCATCAAGATAAATGTGTTAGAGACATTTACTTTTGATTTCTGAACGTTCAGCCTTTTGGGCTGTTCGTAGAAATAGAGGTAGTTTTTCAGATGGCACAGAGGAGTAATTTTTTTTATAACATATCATTTAGGTACTTTGGAAGTCCACTTCCTCCTCACATTGCCCAAAGTAGTTTTCACACTTCAACTCAAATAGTAAAGCTGGGTCTTCCCCTTGGCCCCACCTTTCTCTCACGCCTTTGTGTCGTGGTTTAGCCCCAGCCAGCTACTAGGGGTTGCCCCAACCATGTTGGGATGGGGAGAATTGGAAGAAAGAGGTGAAACTCGTTGTTTGGGAGAAGGACAGTTTAATAGGACAGCCGAGGAAGAGGGAAGTAACAACAACAGTACTAATAAAAGAATATACAAAGCAGGTGATACACAATGCAATTTGTTCACTGCCCGGAACCTGATGCCCAGCCCATCTGCCAGCAGCAACCCCTCCTTCCCGGCCAGCTCCCCTTATATACTGAGTATGACATCATATGGTATGGAATACCCCTTTGGCTAGTTTGGGTCAGCTGTCCCGGCTGTGTTCTCTCCCAGCTTCTTGTGAAAATTATCCCAACCAAAAACCAGGACACTTTTCAAATTTTCCACTGTTTGCTCTTACACTCCTTGGTTCAGGGGCACCTTTGTAAGTGTACGTGTCAGCCTGGCAAGATGCAGAGGCTGTTCCTGTCAAAGTGTGGCAGCCGGACTTGATTTCCTTTTTCCAGGTTAGCTCTTGCAGAGGTGTGGAGGAGGTAAATCATGCTGCTTCGTATAAGAGCAATATCTCATGGACTCAGAGCTGTGCCTTTCCTAGTGTTCTGAGAATAGTCATGAAGTTTTGGAACCACTCTCTGGGATGATGGAAAGACGAATAGCCTCCATGCATGAGGTCATTTCAGAAATAGAGTGTTTTCAATGCCTGTACCACTAGCAGGAATAATCTTTGGCTTATGGTATAGATAGTAAATTCTTGTTGCTTTCCAATTTCCCCAGACTTCTTACTATTGATATAATCTGATTTTTAATGCCTCAGTCAGTGTAAGCAGTCATAGATCCACATTAATATCTATGAACCCTGCTACTTTTATGGCATTTTTCCTTACATGTACTCCACACATTGAGGCTCCTGGTATCCATGATCATCTCGCAAAGAGCAGGAACTTCTTGATAGAATAAATGCTTGTGTGGCAGTATCTTACAAAGCCATTGGATTAAGTTTTCCTAGATTTCTTTAGCATACTGGAAACTAGAAATCTACCTTTAAAATTAATAGCCAATATTCCCGATATCATATGATTCAAACAGCTTGGGTGAAATACCAAATATTGTAGGAGACTTCATATGCCAATACTTTTATGAACCCACAACAGAAATTAAAATTCTGTTCTTGAGTAGTTCTGCTCATAGAAGTCACCTGTTTATTACGGGTATCGCTAATTTCTAGTTGTTGGGAAGATAACGGTCTGCAGCTTAGCTTTTGCCCCAGCTCTCATGGAACTGAGTTCACTTGTTTATCAAAAAGTAGCTGCTTCTAAGTAGAAAGCACAACAGGGAGACAGTGCTACTTCTCTGTATAAGACAGCTGGGACCCAGCCACCCAGTCTGGGAGTGTGAAATCCCTTCAAATCTGGGGCACAAGGGTTAAGACATCCCATTTTACTATTCATTCGGAAAAAAACCCCTTGCCTTAAAAATCTCCTTGCAGAGACCTCACGGGGCGGGGGGGGGGGGGG